CGGGGGTAGGGCTGCAATGGTGCATGCCTAATTCAGTTCTTGACATGATATGGAGTTGGGAGTTGAAGGGTGGTTCAAAATTGGCGATGTGCATTTGGAGTGTCATGCTTGTAGTCGTCTTTTGCACAGTCTAGACGGAAAGAAACAAAAGGATCTTTTAAAATAAGGCCGCTAGCATAGATTGCTTGATTGCCTTTGCATTTGGAAAGATAGTTTCCTGGGTGGCGGTGGCGAAGGACATTCAGGCTTCTGTCCTTTGTTCTCAGCTGAGATCTAGGATATTTCTTGAGTTATGATGTATTGTAGGTGTTAAAGTGAGTTTTTTGGTTCTGTCTTAGGGGCCAAGGTTGTAATCTGCCACTTTTGGCTTTTGAATAAAATTTTACCTTATCTTTTTCAAAAAAAAGGGTTGATTTTCTATACTTTATCATGAAGCTTATGCTTTTCTTATGAAAATTATGGATAATCTATATATACTTAAAGCATTTGGGGGGTGTACGGTAACCCCCTTTCGTCCAACACGTGTCCTCCTTCGGAATGACTTCTTTACCCTCTTTGAAACCTCCACCTCGGAGTGGCTTTCTTCTCCACCAACGCCCCCGCATTCGTACCCGCCTCCATTGTGCCGATCGCCACATACGCCACCAACACCGCCTGAAGGAGAGATTCCTCTCAATCGGAGAACTCTTTATTTTTTCACCATAGCGGAGCAAGTTCTGGAGAGCCCATTGCAGTGCCATCGAACAACGGACAACGGGCTCCCATTGCCATCGATTGACATCCCCTTATCGCTATCAGAGCGACACCTTATGGTTCTGATGATTCCTCAAGACCGTAGGGAGTTTGGGCTCGATGGATCGACGACGAGGTTGGCAGTTGCCCATAAGGGTTTTAGGGAGGGGCTTAGCGGGGGGGGGGATGAAAGGATTAGGGAGTGGGGATGGAGTATACTGGTGGCCATTGAAGGCGGAGACAACCTTGAGGGAGAGGTCGAGGGAACTTACATGGTTGGGAACAAGGGTTTGGAGAGAAGCAATGAGATGTTGGGCAAGGTGTCGGGTCTCTATGCTAGCTTCCAGTTGTTGGCGGATCTCTTTAATGGTCTCTATGCAATTGTTTTTGGAAATAAGATAAATGAGAGGAAGAATCACATTCATGTATTGCGAATTCTGAAAATTGGTAGTTTCTTATTGGACATTTGATTTGGATTTATTTTTGTTCTGGTTATTGAATTTGTTCTCTTGAGTTTGAGTAGGATTTAATTTAGCTAGAGACCTTTTCTATTTGCTACTGTGTTACTCTGTCTTTTTTTTTTCTTTAATAAAATCCAAGCTTTGCAAATTTAAGAAGCTAAAACAGTCGCCGGTGGTAACTGTTGGTTTCCACCGGTTGGAGAGGGAGAGAGATTGAAAAGGGTTTGGGTCAGTGTGGGCATGTGGCAAGAGAGAGGAGCGGGAAGTAGAATGGAAGAAATGCGGAGCTAATAACGTTTGATCCACCTCGCATGTTTCAAGCACACACATGCTTCAAGGATGCGTGGCATGTTCCTGCGCGAATTGTGCGTGCATGAACTCTTGCCCAGATAGAAGCCGGACTCAAGTACTGCCCACTTTAACTTGTTGGCCATCATCGTTGACGGTGCCGTGGTGGGTGTCTTCGTTGAAAGTCAAGCCATTATGATGAGGCTCTAAAAGCAAAGCAATAGCAAGTCCTTGTGGAGGAGTTCCTCCGGACTGAAACGCTGGGGCAGGAATTCAGATAATGGCCGAAATGCAGCTTCTGAGTCTCAGTTGTCACTTGGGTTATCGGTGGATGTGATCAAAATCTTAATACTAGGGGCATTGCGCATCTCTTGCATGAGTTGGTGGCAATGACCGCAGGGCGCGGAGGATTCGGCCATGTAATGGAGTTGGGTCTCACCGTTGACGGTGGCGTTGATGGTCATGAATTGCTCGACATGGACGGAGTGGTGGAGGGGGAGGCCAGGGAACTCAAGGTTGACGCCGAGGAAGATACAACCATTGGATCCTAATCCGGCGATTCCAACAAAGTAATTCAAAATGGTAGTCCATGGAGAGAGAGAGAGAGAGAGAGAGAGAGAGAGAGAGAGAGAGGGAGAGAGAGAGAGAGAGAGAGAGATTGCTCTACAGTCCTTGTTGTGGCGTTCCAAGGACGGGGGCGATAAATAGTGCCATTGAAATTTGGGTTGGTGTGCAAAATTTTAGAAAGGGTAATTTGGTCCCAAAAATAATTGTTGTTACCACTGTTTTGTAATATATTTCTAAATGTATCTGATTTTTTGTAAAAATCCCAATAATTTAAGCATTTTTTAATGCAAACGTCCAAGTTGAAGAGCAAAGTCGGCCTTCATAGGAAAACAATATTCCTTCGATAGTACAATAAACTTTTTCTTTATTTTTTTTATTCAATTTAATAAAATATTATCTAAACATTTATTTATTTAATAAAATTAAAATTTATTATTTATTTTTATTTATTACTTTTTGATTGGGAGAATGACGGTTCAGCCCAGGGTCAGAATTTTTAGGCCCAAAGTATAGTTGGGGTGGGTGCTAGCTCGGAATTGATGCCAATTCACAGGCTGACATTGGTGTATAGAGTGTGGGTTTTTGACATTTTGAATGTTTATAGCTCTACAGTGGAAATCAGAAATCTGCATTGGGCCTGTCTGTACTTCTCCGCTTTTTTATTTTATTTTTAAATTATTTATTTAGTTAGGAAGGAATAATTTACTAACAAACTACAATTACTAGCAAAAAGGTAACTAGATTAGGGTTATCAATGGGTTGGGTCTACCTAGACCTGTTCATCGGCCAGGTAGCCCAACAGGTTGGCCCAGCCCGGCCTGTTATTAAGTTGAGCTTGGTCATAATTTTAGGCCCATGGGCTCGGGCTCAGTCCTAAAGCACCGGGCCTGACTTTTTTTCGGGCCAGGTTCGGGCTTTCTCAAAAAAGCCCGGCCCAAGCTTGAGCTTATAAAAATATATTTTATTTAATAAATATATATAATATTTTTTCTTTGTTCTCTTTTTTTTTCAAGTAATAGTGAGATGTTTATTATTTTTGAGTTTCGAAGGTTTTTAATATAAATAACACTTTTTATTGAATAAAAAAAGAAAAAGCTTTCTAGTCGAGCTTGGGCTCGGTTCCAAGCTTCGGGCTTTATATGAGGGTCGGGCTTGGGCTGGGGCTTGGGCCTGAGTGTATTCTGTTACATATACAAAGCCCGACCTGGCCCATGAACAGGTCTAGGTTTACCTAATGGATCCAAACTGACTGAACCAATTATAACAGTTCCAGTTCTATGATTTTGTCTCTATTAATGGTTGGGTTTATTTTGGTTCTCGTCTATCCAAAACTAATTCGAACCCGCGCGCGCGCGTGTGTGTGTTTATTTGATAGATAATAAATAAGATAATATTAGTTAAAAATGTTTATTTGGGTTAATAGTCTTTGTTTCTTTGTTGTCTTGTGCTGAGTATTGAACTTTCACTTACATGAAGAAGGTGGTGTCCATGTTTTTTGTTTAATTTTCTCTTTATTTAGCACAGGCCTTTCTGCTAGTTATTAAGGAATACGATTGCTAGTTGCTATGGAACCTAGGGAATTACCCTAGGATATATGGCTTTTATTTAAAAAAATCCATTGCCTAGGTGACTTTGGCAACAAGGCGTCTCCTTGTCACCAAGCCTCGCCCTGGCGCCTTGAAAAACTATTTTCTATGTTGATAAAAATAATGCTTATTTATCAAAACTATTTTTGTTTAATATGATGAATATATAATATTAGAGGTGTACTCAAATCTTTTCTACAAAATGTGTTTTTTCATAATTTTATTGTGTTATATATATGTATATTTTATCATTTAAATACGACATCAAGGGTTGACACATTTGACCCTAAAGGTCGAACTGTTGACCTGCCAACAAACAGGAAAACAATTTCATTTTTGGGTTGGTTTAGATTTTGCATTTCGTTTGTATCATCAATAAAAACAATTCTTGTTTATCACACCTATTTTTCTTTAATATGATTAACATAAGATATTAGTGTTGTGCACAAAATTTTCTTCAGTTTTTTATTTTTTATAATTGTTTGTATTTATTTCTATTTTAAAAATTTTATTATTTAACTTTGAAATCATGGGCCGACCCATTTGACCCATATGGTTGAATTGCTTACCTGTCACTTGGACAAAAGAATGGTTTTGTTTTTGGGTTGGTTTTAAAAAATATGGGTTTTATATTTGATATGGATCTAGTTAGTAGAATCTATTGGTGAGAAAAGATATCTTAAACATAGGATTTAATGAGAGAGAATGGGAGTTAATACCTTAAATATAAGAGTTAATGAGAGGAATTGAATGAGGTGTAAAGTAGTAATTAAAATCAAAATCACATTTTTTGTCCTCACAATTAGAGAGGGCCAAATTCAATAGTAGGGGTATTTTAGTAGAAAAGAAAGCTTCACAAGCTCGTTCATACATTTAATAGTAGTATAGATATCTTTAATTATCAAAAAACATTTGTTTTGTCTTCGTCTATTAAAATGACAATATCCTCTATGACTTGATGGCCCAAGGCATGAAAATTGTTTATGCATGGTTTATTTGTCTTTTATTTGTCAAAAGTGAAGGAACATAGAACCTGTATTTCTCAGAAAGTCATCATAATTGGAAGTTTATAACTCTCTTTGGAATTTTATCATAAGTGAAGGAACATAGAACCTGTATTGAATGTGATTTATTAGATGGTTGCCGATATCTTTTTGTTGACTTCTAAGTTATAATTCCAAGGTGGTTACTAGTTGAATGACACTTCACACTTCTGATTTTCAACTTGTATATTTGAATTGTGAACGTTCTATTTGTAGGCTATTGTTCTTAATCTTCTGTTCTTAAATTATTGTACCTCATAAGTAACTAACTTAATAGTATTCGTTTTAATGGAGTTTGATAAAATGTCATTTTTTTGTTTCAGGTCATATAGGCATTACTGTTGATGATACATACAAGGCATGTGAGAGATTTGAACGTCTAGGAGTTGAGTTTGTGAAAAAACCTGATGATGGTAATTCCTTTTTAAGAATGGAAGAAAATTAAGAATGATTGTACATCATGATCTGAAATTAACTTCTTATCAGTGTTACTCAAATATGGATATGGGAGTTAAAAGTCCATGTGTGTCCAAGAGCCTGGCTTGGCGAACAAAAAATATCGATTCAAGAATGCTCACAAAAATAATATGTTAATATAAGAAATACAATCATATAATAATTGTATATGCAATTATGCATCAGTGTGTCCATACTCCAGATGCCTTTTTGTGTATGTCTCTTCTAAGGATTTTTAAGTATTGGTTATCCCTACAAATCTAATACCGATATTATGATATAAAATGTTTTGAAGAGTCCTTCAATTTGTTTCTTTCCATATTATATGGTACGTATAATGGCATTATAATTTTCTTGTTATGCATCTTATTCCATACCATATTTTACTAGTTAGATACTATATCATATATCTTTCCCTATTTGTGTGATGTAACATAAATTGGTTTCTTCACTTAATACCAAAAATATATAAATTTGTTTCTTCTTTTCATAGTATTAGAACAATGTCCACTAACTACTTTAAAGCCATATAGCCAAGCATGTGATGAAGTAAGGTGCTTTTGATATTATATGAAATCAGTTGACCAAGTTAGGATGTATGCCACTTGGACATATTAAAATGTATGCGGTATCCATGTCATACACTTTAGTTTTAGTGTAAATTCTGTCCAAATGCCTTCTTCATGTCCTTGTTGTATGTATTTAAATGTTTGGTAAGGATATGGTATAAGACTTCCATCAAGAAAAAGATAAACATGTTGAAAGAACCTTCTTTTTTATCTTTAACATATCATAAAAAAAGTATTAATAGCAATAGTAATAGCAGTATACAGTAGAGAATCAAGGAGGAAAATCTGTAAACTCCCCATCCCCCCACAGAAGTCCCTTTTCTTCCTCCAAAACAATTAGTACAATCAGGAATATCTGCTTGTCACTTTCCTTTTTCTAGGGTATCAGCCAGAACCTTTGCTGGTCTTTTTGTCCACCTAAACAAGATATTCATGTTTCTAGCCATAAACCTTTCCTGTGACAGCATGCATGAAACACCAAGGTATCCCTCCCACTCCATTCATCCATCAGATCACAACCTTTAAGTCACTCTCCACTTCCAGCCTTGACACGTTTAATAATGAACGGATCTTAAGGGCTTCAAGTACTGAAAAGAATTTTGACCTAATTGAGTTACCTAAACTTGCTGGGTCTGAATACACGATGATGACTTCTCTATGTTGATCCTTTTTAGCACTCCTAGTTCCTGAATTTCCTGGATTGCCAAGGTAGCAGCCAGAAAAATTTATTTCATCTCTTCAGTGATAGATAGTCCATTTGGGTTGTCCTCTTCTTGAAGGATGAGAGAAAGCTCCTGTGCATTCTCTGGTGATGTCGTCTATAGAAGAAGGAACAAATTCTTTTCTTGTTTTTATCTAATAAGCTAATCTTAAAGGATACGATCTATTAAAGCTCCTGTGCATTCTCTTTTTGTTATTGAAAAATTCAAGTATCCCTCTCCTCCCAAATGGTTCATAGAGTAGCAGCTCTTTTACTTATCCACATGTTCTTTGCCCTCTAAGTGTTTGGGGAGAAAATTGTGTTTCACCCCTGCTGGCTGCTCCCTCCTTGCACCAAATAGACTGAGAAAATACTTCCAAATACTAGAAACAAACTTTCAGGAGATTAGAAAGTGAAAGGTGGTTTCATAATTATTCTTCTAGAGATGACAGCAACGGGTAACAATGCAAAAGTGGTCTCCTGCTTTGGATGACCTCATAGGCATTAGTTTTCAAATGAAAAGCTTCCTAGCAAAAAGCCTGCATTTTCAATGGAGTTGAACTCAGTCAAATATCTTTAATTGGAAACAAAACTTGAGGAATAGTAGATGTTAAGGCTTTGAAGAAAGAACACAGTAGAAAGAATCAATATATTTGATGGACCAAGTTCTATCTACCGTGATTATCATTACGGTCAAGGAATATGCTGCCAAGAAGATCAAGTGAATCAGTAAAACTTTCAGGTTCTGAATTTGTCAATCATCTCTTAAACTCAAAATTATGTAGAAAGAAAACAAAGTACAACTTTTTGGATAAGAGAAAGCGTACAACCCTTGACCCTAATGTAGAAAGGAGAGATGATGTAAGAAACTTAATCCTGCAGCAATGGTGCACAAATCTTGAATGGCACCTGTAGAGAACACTGATGTGGGCCCCACTGCAGTGGTCCCCACTGTGTTCGTAGGACAGCAGTGTAGTTATTTGTTTCAGTTATAGTAGTGTCAGTTTG